AGGGTTATTCCCACTTTCTCTTCTAGAAGATTCAGTGTGGCTGGATTTATGGAGAGATCTTTGATCCATTTGCACTTAAGTTTTGTGCATGGTGACAGGTATGGATCAATCTGCAATTTTCTGCATGTCCGAATCCAATTGTGCCACCACCATTTGTTGAAGATGCTATCTTTTTTCCATTGTATGGATTTAGCACCTTTGTCAAAAATAAGGTGTTCGTAGGTGCGTGGATTAATATGAAGATGCTTTCTTTATTCCATTGTATAGCTTTAGCTTCTTTGTTATAAATCAGGTGTTCATAAGTGTGCGGGTTAATATCAGGGTTTTCAACTAGATTCCATTGGTCTACCTGTCTATTTTTGTGCCAATACCAAGCTGTTTTCAGGACTATAGCTCTATAATAGAGCTTGAAATCAGGGATGGTGATGCCTCCAGAAGTTCTTTTATTGTACAGGGTTGTTTGGACTATCCTGGGTCTTTTGTTTTTCCATATAAAATTGAGAATTGTTTTTTCAAGATCCGTGAATAATTGTGATGGGATTTTGATGGGGATTGCATTGAATCTATAGATTGCTTTTGGCAAGATTGCCATTTTTACTATGTTGATCCTGCCCATCCAAGAACATGGGAGCTTCCCTTTTCTGGTATCTTTTTTAATTTCTTTCTTTAGAGACTCAAAATTCTTACGGTAAAGGTCTTTCACTTTTTTGGTTAGCATTACCGCAAGTTATTTTATGTTGTTTGTAGCAACTGTAAAGGGTGATGTTTCCATGATTTCTTTCTCAGCACATTTATCATCCATATATAGTAGGTCTACTGATTTTTTTTAGTTAATCTTGTATTCTGCCATTTTGCTGGAGGTCTTCATCAGCTGTAGGAGTTCCCTGGTAGAGTTTTTGGCTTCACTTATGTAGACTATCATCATATCATCTGCAAACAGTGAAAGCTTCACTTCTTCCTTTCCAATTTGTATCCCCTTGTCTCCTTTTGTTGTCTTACTGGTCTAGCTAGAACTTCAAGGACAATATTGAAGAGATATGTTGAGATTGGACAGCCTTGTCTTGTTGCTGATTTTAGAGGAATAGCTTTGAGTTTCTCTCCATTTAGTTTGATGTTGGCTATTGGCTTACTGTATATAGATTTTTTTATGTTCAGGTATGTTCCTGTTATTTCTGATCTCTCCAGAACCTTCATCATGAAGGGGTGTTGTCAAATGCCTTTTCAGCATCTAGTGAGATGATCATGTGGTTTTTCTTCTTCAGTTGGTTTATATTGTGGATTACATTAAGGGAAATAGGAGAATGAGAAGGGGAAAAGAGGAGGGGTGAGGAAGACATGATGGGGAAGGGAGGTTGAGTTGGGGGAAAAACAGAAGAGAGCAAGCAAGGTAAGAAATAATATAATAGAGGGAGACATTATAGATTTAAAGAGAAATCAGGCACTAGGGAAATGTCTGGAGAACTACAAAGGTGACACCAAATAACAATCTAAGCAACAGAGGAGAGGCTACCTTAAATGCTGTCTTCTGATAATGACTAATTCATATGCCATCGTTTAGCCTTCATCCAGCAGCTGGTGGAAGTAGAAGCAGACCTTGAACTGAAATCCAGTTGCAGAGGAGGAGGATGGGTGAGCATACGGGTCCATACCAGGCTGATGAATCCCACAAAAACAGTTGACTTGAACAAAGGGGAGCTCTTGGTCCCCAGACTGGTAGCTGGGAAACCAGCATGGGACTGATAAAGACCCCCTGAATGTGGTTGTCAGGGAGGAGACCTTGGAAATCTATGGGGCCCCTTGTAGTGGATCAGTACTTATCCCTAGCATAGGAATGGACTCTGGAAGCCCATCCCACACAGAGGGATACTCCCTGAGACTAGACACAAGAGGGTTGGCCTAGGCCCTATCCCAAAGGATATGACAAACTTTTAAGACCCCCTATGGAAGGCCTCACCCTCCCTGGGGAGCAGAAATGGTAAGGGATAGGTAGGGTACTTATTGGGGGTGGCAGGGGTGGAAGGGAGGGAGAGGGACCTGGGATTAACATGTAAAATAATCTTCTTTCTAATTAAAATAAATAAAAAATTAAAAAAAAACAAAAAAGAAAAAGAAGTAATTGACTTGAAGCCTTTTTCCCCCCATGTCAGCTTTTAGTTCCAGAAAACCCTCCTAAATCTTGCTTTGATGGCAACCCAAACTTTCCTTAGACTGTGTTTTAGTTTTCATCCATTTACTAATTGATTTACTAAATTGTTCTTCAATTTATCCTTTGATCCATAGTTACTTGTAAGTGTTTTATTTAGTTGGAAATATTTGGACCTTTGCAAAAATCTTTCTGATGATTTCTAATTTAATTTCTGCCCTATCAGAGAATGTACTTATGTATCTTCTATATCTTAAATTATCCATCAGACTATGGATTTTATGATCCAGAATATAGCCTGTCTTGGTAAAGGTACCATGGGCACTTGACAAGATTATGGGTTCTAAACTTCTTTCATGGCACATTTTAGAAATGTTAATTGAGCCAAGGTGTTCAGATCTTTTGTGGCCTTACTTATTTTTCTGTCATTTCATTGGAATAATTATTAAGAGGAACTGACATTTCTGACTATAATTGCAGTTCTCAGTTTTTGCCTCACATATTTTTTTCTTATTAGACTTAATTCTTCCTTTAAATTTCTTGATTTTAGGTCCCGACTGCAATTTTCCCTCCCTATTCTCCTACCAGTCACTCCCCAACACCTTCCCCTGCCTCCCTACCCTTATATACTCCTGCTCCATCTATTCAGAAAAGGGCAGGCCTTCCATGGATATTGACAAAATACAGCATATTAAGTTTTAGCAATACTATGCACCTCCCCACTACTCCATATGAGGAATAAGTTCCCAAAAGCCAGGAAAAGAGTCAGAAGCAGCCTTAGTTTCCACTGTTAGTAATCCCACAAGACCAAGCTACACAACTATAACATATATGCAAAGGGCCTAGGTTAGTCCCATGCAGGCTCCCTCATTGGTTCAGTCTCTGTGAGCCCCTATGAGCCCAGATTAGTAGATTCTGTGATTTTCTTGTGATATCCTTGACCTCTCTGGCTCCTACAACCCTTCCTCCCTCTCTCCAGCAGGATTCCCTGACTTCTGCCTAATGTTTGGCTGTGGGTCTCTGAATCTGTTTCCACCAGTTACTGAATGAAGCCTCTCTGATGACAGTTGGGTTAGGCACCAATCTATGAGTACAGCAGAATATTGTTAGGCATAATTACATTGACCTTTTTTCTCTAGTCATGTTTGGTTCTATCCTAGGTCTCTGGGATATCCAGCCTCTGCATCCTGGGACTGCAGTGCCAGGGGTGGGTTCACTCTGATGGCATAGGTCTCAGGCTAGACCAGTCATTGGCCACTCCCACAAACTCTTCCTCACCCTTACCCCAACATATCCCATAGGCAGGAAGACTGTAGGTCAAAGGTTATGTGGCTGGTTTAGTGTCCCAGTCCTTCCACTGGAGGTCTTGCCTGGTCACAGGAGGTGGTCATTTCAGGCTACATATCCCCTGTTGCTAGGAGTCTTAGCTGAGGTCACCCTTGTAGATTCCTGGGAGTTTCCCTTGCTCCAGGTTTCTAACTGACCCTGAAATGACCCCCTTTCAGTACTCTCCACCCTCAACCCCACACTAGCTCTGTTATTCTCTTCCCCCAATTTGTTTTCAACTCAATTTTTTGTTTTTAAAAATAGATGTCTTTCATACAATACATTCTGATTATGGTTTCCCATCCCCAACTCCTCCCAGATCCTCCCCAATTACTCACCCACCCAAATCCACACTTATTCTTTCTCTATGTTTAGAATACAAAAGACATCTAAAAATAATAATGAAATAAGATGAAATATGTAGGGGAAGTTGTATCCACGCCTGCTTAGAGTGAGAGGCAGTCAGGTGGCCAGTTTCAGTTTCTGTTTCACTTTCGGCTTGCTGTACAGACTGCTGCCACACCAGCTGGCTAGGTCACTCTGTAAGTAAGGCTTTTTCCCTATTAAAATCCCTTGTATTTCTACCTGGCTGCATATTGGTAATTTCCCACATTAGAAATAAAAACAAATAAACCAGAATAGGACAAATAAACAACCAAGCAAATAAAAAGAGCCAAAGAAAAAGCCCAAGAAACATATATAGATCCAGAGACACACCCTTTCACATGCACAAAAATCCCAGGAAAACAGAAATCTGGAAAACATAATGAATGTGCAAATGACAAAGTGGTGGTTTGAATAGGTGTGGCCCCCATAGACTGACTAATGGGTTTGATTGCCTGGCCTATAGGGAGTAACGCTATTAGTAGGTGTGGCCTTGTTAGAATAGGTGTGGCCTTGTTGGAGGAATTGTGTCACTGTGGGAGCAGGCTTTGAGGTCTCATATGCCCAAGTTACCCAGTGTGGGACACAGTTCATTGCATGTGGATAAAGATGTAGAACTCTCAGCTGCCTCTATAGCACCATATCTGCATGCATGCTGCCTTGTTTCCCACCATGATGATAATGGACAAAACCTCTGAAAGTGTAATCCAGCCCCTCAATGAAATGTTTTCCTTTATAAGAGTTATCTTGGTCATGATGGTTCTTCACAGGAATAGAAACCCTAACTAAGGCAGACGAGTAAGTTTTTTTTTTTTTTAACTATGACAAAGCTTGATGAAATGAAGAACCTAGAAAAATGCCATTGAAAAAATGCCATTGAGTTCATTTTGTGTTGATTCTACTGCTGGGCATAGGGCCTGGCCATCTGTTGCCAATTGGAGATATCTTCTGGGTTAAGGTTTTGGGCTTGTGTCCACTCCCCTTCTCAGCTCAAGGATCCCACCTAGCCCACACCTATGCAGGCCCTGTGCGTGCTGCAACAGGCTCTGTGGATTCACATACATATTGTTCCTGCTGGGTTTAGAAAGCCTTGTTTCTTTGGTGTCCTCCATCCCCTTTGGCTCTTATAATCTGCTTTCTCTTCAGCAAAGATCTCTGATCCATGAGGGGAGGAATTGATGAGACATCCCATTTAGGACCGAGTGTTCCAAGGTCTCTCAGTCTCTGCACATTGTCCACCTGTGGGTCTCTGTAATGCAATAAGTAAAAGACTCAGAGACTGATATTGGGTTTAACTTCAAGCTGAAGTTTAGAAAAGCCAAACAGCTAGCCAATAGTTCTTACTCTACCTCAGACTGAAAGGCAATTTTGGCTCCATCAAACCTCAGACTGCAATTCCAGACTGCTAAACTCTCCTGAACGTGGCTGGAGAACCCTAAAACGGAAGGACTTCCTATCCTCAATGTGGCTGGAGAATGAATGCCAACTCTGAGACCCTGTTCCTATATACTTCCCCAGTGCTGCGATTAAAGATGTGTGACCCGAGGTGCTGGGATCAAAGTCATGAGCTCTATTACTCTCCACTCTTGTGGAGAGGCCATGGTGGCCTTGAACTAACAGAGATCTGTCTACCTTTTAATCCTGGGATTCAAGGTGTGTACTACCACTGCCTAATCTGTATAGCTTGTGGCTGACTTTGCTTTCTGAATCCTCAGGCAAGCTTTAATAAATCATAAATAATATATCACCACAGGTTTCTGTATTTATTCACATCTATTATGGGAGGCAGCTTCTCTGATGATGGACTGAGCAAGACACTGATATATGAGTATATCAGAATTGGCATATTTGAAGTACTTTACTTATAGGCTACATGCAGCTTTGTCTCGTTTTTCAATCAATTTGAGGATTGCTGCCTTTCAAATATTTTTAAAAATAATTACTATTTTATGCATGTGGTTGTTTTGTCTGCATGTATGCATGTATACCACATGCATGCCTAGTGCCTGCACAGGCTGGAAAAGGGCATTGGATTCCCTGGAATTGGAGTTTTGGAAGTTTGTAAGCTGCCATGTTAGTGTTGGGAATTGAACCGGGGTCCTCTGGGAAATTAGTCAGTGCTCTTAACTACTGAACCATCTCTCCAGACCCTTGATTGCTGCCTTTTAATTGTTATATTTATACCATTCTTGTTTAGTGCAATTATTAATATGGTTAATTGAAAACTTACCACAATACTATTTACTTCTTATTTATCCTAATTCTTGTTTCTCTTTTTGCAGGATTGGTCAATTCCATTTTATCTCCTTTATATTATTAACTGTTTTTGGAGAGGAAAAACTGAAAGGTTTTCTTCTATGCCTCTATTTTTGGTTTTCTTCTATCCCTTTATTCTTAGTTATTGGGGCCATGAAAATAAAACCAAAAGGGACAGGTTAACAGGAGAAAACAATAGATCTAATCATGTACATACACAATTGTTCACAAGAGAATAAAACTGAAGGAGGCAATTAGCATTTGGAGTTATATCCCACCTTTATAAAGGATAGGGAGGAACGCAGCATTTATTAAAAGGGAGGAGGGGAGGTTGTTTACTAAGAAACAATGTTTCAGAAAGATAAATGGGCTCCACAGAGAAGAGTTGAGAGATAGTTTCACTGCCATTTCCTTCCAGGACATGAAAGCTATACAGAAATACTTCTAGCTGCTTTATTTAGAATAGCTCAAACAACCCTGCTGTCCTGAAGTGGGTTAATCATTAAGCTGTGGCACCTAATGTTATTCATCAATATAAGGAAGTGACTCATTTATATTGTCTGACAACTTGAATGAGCTGCAGAAAATTAAGCTGTGGGGGGAAAACACAGCCCCACGTGGTTACCTACTGCATCCTTCCACTTACATAACATTCTTGAAATGTTACAATAATAGAAATCAACAGATCAGTGGTTGTCAGGTTACAAAGGCAGTGTGGAGAATGAGAGGAAAGCAAGTAGGCTTGGCTACAAAAGTGTCAGGAGCAGTACTTGTGCTGATGAAAATGTCTGGTGTCTTCCTGTAAATGTTCTAGTTGTGATAGAGTATTGCATTTTTTCAAGATGTTTTCATTGGGAGGATTGAATAAAGGATACAAAAGATTTCTTTTTTCTTCTCTCATACAATAGATCCTGACCAGAGCCTCACCTCCCTCTCCTTCTCTATGTACCCTCTGCCCCCGCCCCATCCACTGTTCCTCTTTGCAATAGTTCTTATAATGGGATGTCAACCTACTATTATATGAAAGTGAATGATTTAAAGGGCCAGAAAGATGGCTCAGGGGGTAAAGATGCTTAACAATCAACTCAAGATCCTGAGTTCAACTCCTAGAACCCACTTGGTAGAAGCAGAGAACTGATTTCCACAAGTTATCTTCTTAATTCTTCATGCATGCAATGACACAAGCTTGCTCATGTATGCCCACATGCACACACACACACACACACACACACACACACACACACACACAAATGATAAATAAATATAATTAAAATATTTTACAAGAAGGCAAGATACAGACTTGAATAGCGAAACAAAAGTATTCTTCACCAGGAATTCTCTCTGAGCAGCTGTCTAATCCTAGTCACAATGTGACTACATTTTTTTTTTGTAGAAATTGACTGACTGATTCTAGGTTAGCCTTTCAAGCAAAAGGAAAATAGTTTCCCTAGGGAACTATACTAAGCATTTAGCAAGTAACAGTTAGGTCTCAAACCCCTGGCCAAATGGTTGAGGTGCCTATTTAATATATCACAGCAGACAGGTTCTCCTTGTATTCCTAAGTCTCTACCTGGTACAGGGCCCTCCTGGCTGGCATACCCTACCCTCTACCCTAAACCTCTCCAACCCAGGGGCTGGGTTGCCCTTCGGGCACAGTCTTCCCTATATAGTCCAGCCATTTTGGTTACCCCTCCTCTTTGGGCCTCCTGGCTGCTGCACCTGGTTCCCATCTTTCCCCTCATGGCCCAGCTCAGTGTGGTCATGTCTACTTGCTACTCATCCAGCTGCCCCTGCATCTCACTATGTTCTCCCACATATCTACAATAAACTTTTTTTTCCTTCACGGTTCAACTGTTCCTCCACAGAGCAATTGTGTCCTTTCCATTTTTTTTTTTATTATTCACAGTGGTCCTATAAAAACTCTTCTAGAAAAAGCAAGTGTGCTTCCCAATTCATTCTGTGATATGAGAAAAACTCATACAAAATGGTAGAAAAAATAACTAGAGGAAAAGAAACCACGAAATAAAAACCCTCATGAGCATAGGTAAAAATTTGCCTTACAAAATTTTAGAAAAATTCAATATCATTGAAAATGCTATATCATGACCAACCAAATAAAATGACCCCAGGTGTGCAAATTTAGTTTGATATTCAAAAAAATCAGTCCTGGTTACTAGTAGATTAAAAAGATAGATGTATGATAATTGTAGTGTATTTATTAAAAGAATTTGACTAAAATTCAAATTTCTGGATTTTTAAAAAGTGTCAGCAAAGTAGTGAATGACAACTTTTTCCTTAGGATAAAAAAACATTTCTGGAAAAAGGAAAAAAGTGGGAAAAAACCTTACAGCTAACTTCAAAGAGTGAAAGGCTATTTTCCTTGTAAGATCTTGAAAGGACTGGGAGGTACCCACCACTTCTGTTCACCCTTGTACTGCATAAGATACAGCTAGCAGGAAAAGATGTTGAACATGAGTAGTTTGGAGGAAATTAAAAATTAGAACACCTATAAATACTTAATAGAATGCCTAGAATTCGATCTCATTCAGTTTTGGCAAGGATGCTCAATAATTTGTACATTGCTGGTAGGCATGTAGATTGGGACAACAACCTTGGAAAAATAATTTAGTAGTTTCTTTAGACGAGCAACATTTTCTTTTTCTTCAATTTCACTTTGTTTTTAATTCTGTTGTATATTTGTGTGTCTCTGTGGGTTTGTCCATATGAGTGTAGCTGCCAGCAGATGTCCGAGAATCTCCTGGAACTAAAATTTTGGGCAGTTGTGAGTTGGCCACTATGACTACAGGGAACAGAACAGGTAAAACAAACAAACAAACAAACAAAACCAAAACCAAAACCAAACAAAACAAATCAAAACAAAAAATCCTTCCAACTTTTAACA